TAGTTGGGCCCAAAAGAAGACGTGCATTTAAAGAGGTGTTGCATTTAGGGGGGTAGCATTTAGGGGGTCTGACTGTAATTTCTTAATAAAATTCTACTAATTTAGATTAATAAGTATAAACATCAACTACTTGATTTGCTCGAATATCAATCTGATAGGATATGAAAATACACAAATAATACATAACTTTTCAGTATTATTATTTATTTATTTGTAAATTAGTCAAGCATTCTTCTAACTGATGAATTTCTTTTTGCTTGGCAAGAAGTATTTGTAATTCATTTTTAGTTAGGTTGCCTTCAAGAATGTTTTGGTAAGCAACTATTTGACCCTGAATAAATTGATCATTACTTTTGATTGCTTGCTTTTGAGTTTCTAATAATAAGTCAACTATTTTTTCAAGATGACCAGCTTTAGTCTTGATATTTAAAGTTAATTCTTCAAATTTAATTTTTTCATTTCTTATTTGTGGTGCCAGTTCTTGATATTTAAATCGTTTGATCTCTTGTTTGAGAGTATGAAAGTTATAAGGTTTATTTGGAAATAATATGTCGGAAAGCTGTTGTAGTTGTTGAAATTGTTGTAATTGTTGTCCTTGTACTTCTCCTTCATACATTCCTATGCTAGTTACGTAACTATTACCACTTCCATAAAGACAGGTAAGAGCTGTGCCAAAAAGTGGTAATGAGTCAAATTGATTAGCATAACTATCACCCTTCGTTTTGTGGATTCTTGCTTGCTTCTTAGAAGGTATATAAGTTATAATTTTTAATTCACCTATATAAGATTGATATGATCCAGAAATTGCTAATATATATTCGCCATCTAGAAAGTCAAATTCTTTATTATATGTCGGATCACAACAACTTCCAAGTTTTTTTACCATCAATTAAACTACAAAGAAATCTTCTCCTCACTAGTTACAGTTCTACCATACAAGGCCCAAAACCGTTTACAACTTTGCTTAAACATTGCAAGACTACACCTATACCTTTCTAATAATTACCAAACCATTAACTACAAAAAATTT